AATCTTTTCAACTTTTTTCCTGATGATTAGTTAATAAGGGTTGAGGGTCGTCGGTTTAAGTGGGGGGGGAGACGGCGGCGGCGGGGGGTTCCCCCCCACACGCGCCCGCGTCCGCGGAGGATTTTTTTGTATTTCGTTCACGTTGCGAATGTGAAAGTTAAATTAAATTTACAACGTGTTAATTATTATTTTCGTGGAACAAGACAGAAACGTTTAGAGGGGAGGAAAGGGCAGGAGGAGGAGGGGGCATTGATCGATTGGGGGGGAGTCGGAAGTAGTTCGAAATATAACAATTAAATTAATAAAGTAATTTATCCGTTATAGGAAAAAAAAAAAAAAATTAATTCCGTGTGAAATCGATTTTTTTTGTGTAAAAAGTAATTTAAAAAATTTTCTCACACGTGTTTTCACCATTTTTGTTTTAATCTCTCTCTCTCCCTCTCCCTCTCTTTATCCATCTATCCATCTATCTCTCTCTTTCTCTCCTTGTCTTTGACTTCGTTCGTACCTTAATTTTTTTATTTTGTAATTACGGAATAAAGTTCTTTGATTAAAAATTTAGACTTTGTAAAAAAAAAAAATTAAAACAGGTTCTCGTTTTTTTTTTAAATATTATTTTTATTATCATTATCATTATTATTATTATTATTATTATTATTATTATTATTATTATTATTATTTAATGGGAAAACCTATTGTTCGATTGAAAACGGTCGGGGTGAAAGTTGTAGTAAGCGCGTGAAAGACGAAAATTTTACTCTTTTTTTTTTTCGTGACGGGTTTCGTTAATTTTGAAATTTCTTTTAGAAAATTACGTGCGTACACGTGTTCGTACGCGTGTGCGTTATCGATTAAATAAGATTAAAAATAATAATAATGATAATAACAAAGGGGAATGATTCGTATAATTTGTAACGTCTTCGTCATGTTTTTTATTTTTTTAATTTTCTTTCGTTTAAAAGAGGGCCGACCCGCCGTCCGTCCTTCGGGATTTCTTACTAGTTTCCCACCCCACCCCCTTCCCCCCGCCTGTCCTCCGGTCATCTTGTCTTCAGACAAGAGAAAACGAGAGAGAGAGAGAAGATGAGGGATATTGAGGGAAAGGTTTTAAGTCGTTAAGTTCGTTCACGATTGTCCGTCTTTTTCCGTTTCCGGTTTCTTGTTCTTTGCGTTAGATTTTGGGGAGAAAAAGGGATGGGGTTTGCAAACGTCTGCAGGTTTACCGGAAGTAGTTCATCTGTTCTTATCTTTGAGTCGCGTGTTTGTTTTCGCGTGATGATGACGTGTTAGTGGGGTTGTGCGTACCGCGAAATTATTATTAATAAATATTAATCTCCAACTGGTTATTTTCAATATGTGAGAAGACTTTGCCATATTCGTCAAACAATCTAATTAATATTCTCATCTGGTATTATTATTATTATTATTATTAATATTATTATTTTTCAAAGTCAAAATGGCGCGTACGGTCCTCTTCCCACACACACCCCTCCCCTCCCCCCCATTCCGTCCATCCGTCCGAAAACACGTTTTGCGTTTTATCCGCACTTTTTTTTTTTGTGAAAACATACAAATGTTTGTCGTTGTTTTGAATTGTTTGTACGAAGTCGAAAAAAAATTTTGCCGTTAGGTGATTATATCGCGATGCGTACGCGCGCGTTTTACGTGTCCGCGGCGGTTTTTTCTCAAAAAAATTTCCTTATAATGGATATTTTTATAAAAATTGATTTGTCACGGATTAATTTCTTTTTCTTTTGGTTGTTGTTTGGAAAGGAAGGAGGAGTGGAAGGGATGTTGCACGGTTTGGACCAGACGAAAACAAAAAAAATAAAAAGTTTCTTCTCCGGAAGTTTCTTTCAGGAAGAAACTAAAAACACAGGGGGGAGAGATAGAGAAAGAGACTCGAAGAAAGGGGGAAAAAAATGTAATTAAATATGGCGGATGACAGAAAACGGAAATAAAAGGGAAATTAGGGTTGTTTTAGTTTTAGGAGTTTTAAGAGGTTTTAACAAAAAATGAGAGACACGAGGAGGAAAGTTCATTGTACGATAGAAATCCATCCGAGAGAGGAATTATTATACTAGGATGTGTTCGTGTGCGTGTGCGAGTGCGTGACGTTTGTGCGTTTTCATGCGTCGCGTTTTTTTTTTTCTGCATTCGAAACATGAGTCAGACAGTTAAACCGCCGGAAAACGTTTCGAATAAATAATTGATACAGTGCCGCCGAATTTTCATCTTTTTTTTTTTTGTCATGTGCCACTTGGTTGTCGGGGTTTGTGACAGATTCTAACATGTGATGATGATGATAATGATGATGATGATGATGATGATGATGATGATGACGATACAGGCCGCGTTAGTTACAAACAAACGTTGTGTGCATGTGTTCCTTTAAATTTTTTTCCATCTCTCTCACTCCCTCTCTATCTTTTTTTTCTTTCTCGCGATAGGCTCATACGAGGATCATTTGATGATCCCTTCCTCCCTCCGCCATTTTTCTTTTTTTTCTCCCGGTGGTGGTCGCCCTCGAAACACTTTTTGAGTGGTAGTTTGTTCGTGTTGCACAACAATCGTCGATTGTCGCGCGTTTGTTTTTTTTATTAATCGAGTCGATGAAAAATGAAGAGTGGGGGGGGAAGGGTAGGGATAGCGGAGACGAGCGGGGAATCAAGGCGGGGCGGGTTAATATGAAATTGAGGTAAAGTCACGAAGGAAAAAAATAAAAAATAATATTGTGATGATGTGAGGGGGGGAAAGGGGGAAAGGGAGGGGGAAACACGCAATAGAAAATAAAAAATTTTCTTTTTTTTTTTTTTTTTCTGTCTTTCTTTCCACTTTACGATTGTTTGTTGTTGAGTTTTTTTACCCGTTTGTTGAGTTCGTTAAAAAAAAGATTGATTGTTTAAAAACGTTTCTGTTTTTTTTTTTGTTTTTGTCGTTGTTGACGTTCAAATTTGTTATTTGCCGGTTTACATAGAAATTAATATCATCATCATCATCGACGACGACGACGACGACGTCGACGTCATCGTTATTATTATTGTTAGTGTAATATTAATTTTTTATATTTTTTTTCTCCATTTTGTGTTTCGCGATCAGTGTTTTTTTGTTTTCCGGAAAATTGATAATATAAAATAAGAAGGAACGTTTATTTGTCACGTGGTACTTTGAGTGTGAACTTTTTTTTTTTTTTTACGGGTATCTCGCGCGTGAGGAAAATGACAAAGCGAACGTGTCGAATGAAAGAAGACTTAGGAAAGAAAGTGAGAAAAATCCCAAAAAAATTTTTATAGGAAAATTAAACAAAAAAAATTTTTATCTAGTCAGGAAGGGTGGGGAGGGGGCGGCGAAATGGAATCTTCTTGTTTTCCACCCCTGGGTTCTCTCAGTTTGAGAGAATCTAAAAAATGTAAAAATTACGGTAAAGAATCGCGAAGGTCAATAACGGGTCCTCCGAACGTTGTCTTATCGTCAGATGATGATGATAATAACGAATTCGGTCCGAACGGGAAAATCGAAATACTTCAAGATTTGGATCTTTATTACATTCGTCAAATAGCTCATAATCTCAAGGTAAGAAGAGATTTCATTTTAATTCTTAATTCGAAGGAAAACGTTTTTTCCCCATCGTTTGTTTGTTTGTTTGTTTGCGATTAAATATGGCGGAGACTGTAAATGAGACTGGAAAAATTGGAAAATGATGACGAACGAACGAACGAAGGAACGTATTTGAAAATGGGAAGAAATCTAAGACATGCACGAGAGAGAGAGAGAGAAAGAGAGAGAGAGAGAGAGAAAGACAGAGAGAGAGAGAGAAAGACAGAGAGAGAGAGAGAGAGAGAGAAAGACAGAGAGAGAGAGAGAGAGAGAGAAAGACAGAGAGAGAGAGAGAGAGAGAGACAGAGAGAGAGAGAGAGAGAGAGAAAGACAGAGAGAGAGAGATTGTTTTATTCGGACATGAAAATAAAAGGGTGACGGTGATAATTGGAAAACCGGAAGTACACAAAATTGATTAAGAAAAAAGAATTTATTTTTATTTATTTATTTATTTAAGTATATTTTTATAATTTATTGTGATGTCTTTGCCAAGATGGCGGTGGCGCGACGAATCATCTGCCAAATAATTTTAATAGTCTGACGTTGACAACGATGGCCAAAAAAAAAAAAAATGGCGGCCATTCCATCCATAGTCCGGAATTAATTAGTGTGAAAATGTTTTTTCGTTGTTTGTTTGTATTTTTCTTCATTTTTTTCTTTCGCTCTCCTCTCCCTTCCTCCTTCTCGAGGGAAAGTACGTTCGATATATATCGATATATCGATTTTTTTGTTTTAAAAAAAAATAGAAATAACTGGCTTTGGGCGTTAATTAAAATTTTAGACGGAACGAGTTTTTGTTTTTTGCGAGAATTTGATTGTTGGTAACGAAAAAAAAAAAATTTGTTGTTGTTGTCGTTGTTGATTTTCGTAACAGGAAATATCGTTCTCGATTTTCTCTCGAAATTAATTAAAAAAAAAAAAAAAAAAACGACAAAAAAATGTTCGAAATTCGTGCGACGATTTTGAAACGAAGTTGACGACCGAACGACGTTCATTAAACGTTTTTATAATTATTATTAAAATCCTCCGCTAGACGTCGTCGCAATCGTCGTCGTCTGCTTTGTTCGGATATTTTTTTTTTTTTTTTATAATTAAAGTAATTAAGTTTATTATTATTAATGTGATTCACATGCGAACGTTTTCCGTTAAATCTTCTCTTCGATATTAAACTGATTCGTATCGAACCCCAAAAAAAAAAAAAATTCGCGGTTTTACTGTCATCATCATCATCATCATCATCATCAAATTGCTTTTTTTTGAGGGGAAAGGTAGTCAAAAGATTTACAGTTGAATAATTTTCAAAAAAATATATATTTAATTTAATAACGTATAAAAATTACAAAACGAACGTTTTTTATTTTTAAAAAAAAAGGCACTTTATTAATAATAATAATAATAATAATAAAACGAACGTTCGAATCGGCACCACGTGATTTTTTACGTATTTTTTTTTCGGAGGGGAGGAAGAGGGAAATGATGATGATGACGACAACGTCATCATCATCATCATCCATCTATCGTATATAATTAATTTAATTGTGATGATTATTATTATTAAATCAGTCTTATCACACTTGAACTAGTCCTGCACACGAATCTTTTTTTTTTTTTTTTGCAGTTCTACCAACTGTTGTTGTGGCACTTCTTATTATCATTATCACGGACGAAGGAATAATCAATTGATCAATAGATAATTTTATTAATTGTTTATTTGATTGATTGATTGATACATCTATACATTCATTCATCGTTCACATCGGAATTTCGGAAAATTTATATTTGACTTCCTTTATCGTTTTACCCTCCATATTTTCCAATTGTATGTCTTCTGTCGTTTTTTTCTTTCCTAAAAATCCGTTCATGTTCCTGAAAAAAAAAAAATTTCCCTGGGGTTTTAAATTGCACTTATCTCTCTCTCCCTCGGTCTCCCTCTCGCTCTCTCTCTCGGGGCAGAGCGAGAGAGAGACCGGGGGAGAGAGAGAGAGCGAGCGGGACACCGAGGGAGAGAGAGCGCGAGATTGGGGGGGACACCGAGGGAGAGAGAGCGCGAGACTGGGGGGGACACCGAGGGAGAGAGAGCGCGAGATTGGGGGGGACACCGAGGGAGAGAGACCGCGACCGGGAGGGAGACCGCGAGCGCGAGATTGGGGGGGAGACCGAGAGGGAGAGAGAGCGCGAGATTGGGGGGGACACCGAGGGAGAGAGAGCGCGAGATTGGGGGGGACACCGAGGGAGAGAGAGCGCGAGATTGGGGGGGAGACCGAGAGAGAGAGACCGCGACCGGGAGGGAGACCGGGCGAGAGAGAGCGCGAGATTGGGGGGGACACCGAGGGAGAGAGACCGCGACCGGGAGGGAGACCGCGAGCGCGAGGGAGAGAGAGCGCGAGATTGGGGGGGACACCGAGGGAGGGAGACCGCGAGCGCGAGGGGGACACCGAGGTTCACTCACTCTCGTTCTCTCCCCCGTCTTTCACTCTCCCGTTCACACTCTCGTTCTCTCCCCCTGTCTTTCACTCTCTCTCTCTCACTCTCCCGTTCACACTCTCGTTCACTCTCCCGTTCACACTCTCGTTCTCTCCCCCGTCTTTCACACTCTCGTTCTCTCCCCCTGTCTTTCACTCTCTCTCTCACTCTCCCGTTCTCACTCTCTCTCTCACTCTCCCGTTCACTCTCCCGTGCACTCTCTCTCTCACTCTCTCTTTCACACTCTCGTTCTCTCCCCCTGTCTTTCACTCTCTCTTTCACTCTCTCGTTCTCTCCCCCTGTCGTTCACTCTCTCTTTCACTCTCTCTCTCACTCTCCCGTTCACACTCTCGTTCTCTCCCCCTGTCTTTCACTCTCTCTCTCTCACTCTCCCGTTCACACTCTCGTTCACTCTCCCGTTCACACTCTCGTTCTCTCCCCCGTCTTTCACACTCTCGTTCTCTCCCCCTGTCTTTCACTCTCTCTCTCACTCTCCCGTTCACACTCTCGTTCTCTCCCCCGTCTTTCACTCTCCCGTTCACACTCCCGTGCACTCTCTCTCTCACTCTCTCTTTCACACTCTCGTTCTCTCCCCCTGTCTTTCACTCTCTCTCTCTCACTCTCCCGTTCACACTCTCGTTCTCTCCCCCGTCTTTCACTCTCTCTTTCACTCTCTCTTTCACACTCTCGTTCTCTCCCCCTGTCTTTCACTCTCTCTCTCACTCTCCCGTTCTCACTCTCTCTCTCACTCTCCCGTTCACACTCTCGTTCTCTCCCCCGTCTTTCACTCTCTCTTTCACTCTCTCTTTCACACTCTCGTTCTCTCCCCCTGTCTTTCACTCTCTCTCTCACTCTCCCGTTCTCACTCTCTCTCTCACTCTCCCGTTCACTCTCCCGTGCACTCTCTCTCTCACTCTCTCTTTCACACTCTCGTTCTCTCCCCCTGTCTTTCACTCTCTCTTTCACTCTCTCGTTCTCTCCCCCTGTCGTTCACTCTCTCTTTCACTCTCTCTCTCACTCTCTCTTTCACACTCTCGTTCTCTCCCCCTGTCTTTCACTCTCTCTCTCACTCTCCCGTTCACACTCTCGTTCTCTCCCCCTGTCTTTCACTCTCCCGTGCACTCTCTCTCTCACACTCTCGTTCTCTCCCGTGCACTCTCCCGTTCACACTCTTACTCTCTCTTTCACTCTCCCGTTCATTCTCTCGTTCTCTCACCCTGTCTCTCTCACGTGCTGAAAAGAAACTACGTCACATTTTTTTTACCTATTGTTTTCTTTTCGAATTCAGGTATCATGTTCGCTATTGTTCATCAATTCGTCGACTTGTTTTCTTACGTAGCGGTCGGTAATGATGATAATGATAATTATTTATATGCATTTCATATGATTTAAAAGAGACATACGTTCGTGACGTTTCTTGGTCGCCACGATAAGTTGGCAATACCTAATAACGATAATGATTTTTTCATACCTTTTCTTTTCATCTCTTGGAATTTTATAATGGAAAACGTGTAGCAGTATGACTCCGAGGATAATCAAACAACCCAAAATGAAAAGTCCGTAATAAACGAAAGGACCGAATTCGACTATTTTCAACATAATTTTAACTCCGTTCGTGTATTCGTCGCTCAGTGAAACGCTATTTTCCGTCCAAAATACCGGTATGAACACATCTTTGACGTTTCTGTACA